CCCCTTCCAAACGCCCTAGACCGAGAATTTTTTTGCCAAGCTGCTGGGCTGTGTTGCCTTCAAAAAATGAATTACTGAATCCCTCCTCATGTGCTGTTGGATCGCGGATCAGCTCCTGGACGCGTGACACGATTGCTGCTAGACTCCTCTTCTTTTGCCACCTCAACACTTCTCTTCCACGTGTTGTGCTTCTGTGTTGTTGCTGGGCCAATTACCTTGTGCACCTACAAGCTTCTGCCCACGCTGGACGCTACAGTGCTGGGCCGAGAAGAGCTGCCGGATGCCTTGCTGGACCGTGAGCTCCTCAAGCTACTGTGTGCACCTCTTCATTAATAGCTTCCCATTCACGTGCTTTTTCTTTGCTTGCTGCCCTCTTTCATTCACGTGTTGCTGCTGCCTCTACTGTCCAAAGTTTCTTCTCATGGGCCCTATGGATGAAGAATGGAATGAGTGCAGGCCTTGTGTTGATGTCTGGACGCTGCTGTCCGCGTGAAGCCAAACCAGGCCGTGCGTTCTCTTCATTTTGCAGCTGGAGCTGGATGTTGAAACTCTTCAAAGCTCTTTTCCATGTGGGCCGTGACACCACTTCCATGTTTCCCTTGGACGTAGCTGCTGCCATGCCTCTCAAAGAAACCGTGATCTTTCAACAAGTGTGGCCCCCTCACTGCTCTTGCATCCTCTCTCCAGAAAAAAAAAAGTGAAAAACGTCCCCCCTTTGCTAGATGCGTGAAGCCCCTGGACGTGCAGCCCATCCAAGCTTCTTCCTCTTTTTTTTTTCTCCCAGCACCTCCTAATTAATTGCCCATGCCTTGCGTGTGCACTCCCTTCCAGCAGTGACAACACTCCTTCACCGTGCAACCTCTTTTGTGCACCTCCTAGCTGCTGGACCGTATGATGCGTTTGCTGCCCAAATGAACCAGCCCCCCACTTTTCTGGATGCTGAAGCTGCTTGCTGGACCAACGCTGGAAGTGTTGCTGGAAGCGTGAATGAAGATAGTTGGGCCTGCTGCCCCTTCTTCGTGCACCTCCTTCTTCTCCCAAGCACCACGTCTTTATCCCAACGTTCCAGCTCATTCGTTTGCACCCCTTAATTGAAATTCACACCTCCTCAATCATTTTAACTTAAATTATAATTGATGTGGCATTTTCTTTTGACATTCAAATGTCCCAAATTGTATTTTCAAAATTTTCCTACAATCCAAAATGAAAATAATAAGCTCAAATAATCCAAATTAATTAAAACAACAATTTATAGTCAAATTAAGCACAATTAGCAAAAATAGGAAAATATTGGACATTCAAGCATAATTTCCTGATTAATTCTAGCACAATAGAGAGTGTAGCCTGAGCATACAAGATCTTCCTTCAAGGGGTGGAAAAGAGAGTGTTTGCTTCGTCTCAGCCAAAGATATAAACCCTAGGACGTCCTAAAGCTTATATACTATTCTAAAATTACAGAAAATTAGGCCCAAGCCCAAAATAGTGTCGTTCAGCGGTAAACTACCGCTTAGCGGTAAGTGCGTGAGTTGTTTTCCTCCCCTCAGCGGCCCTTTCACCCCTCAACGGAGCCAACGTGACTGCCTGAGTGCCGCTCAGCGGTAAACTGCTGCTGAGCGGCAGTTGCGGCTTCTCCTTTTGCACTTTTTGATGTCTTTTCTGATTCCATCTTTTACTATCCTTCTGAGGACAAACCGACTAATAGTACGGACCCCCACAACTAAAACATCTAATATGAGCTAGAACGGTTTGCTGCCCGAACGGTACTGGAGGTCTTGAAGATTGACTTCTAACTCTTGATGAAGAAGGCTGAGCATAAGGAGTCCTCTTAGAACCGAGACTACTTTTGGAGGAAACCGGCCCTCCAACATTTGGCTGTTGCCTTTCCACTTCCTTATCGGTCTTCTCTAAAACCTTAGCCCGTTCCACTAAAGAGAGAAACTGCTTGATGCACAAGCCAGCCACCATCAACTTGAGATCCCCTAGCAATCCATTTTCAAATTTTCTACACTGTCATTCCTCATTCATGGCCAGTGTATGAAACCTCAACAAATGTTTGAACCGATCGACATACTCTGATACCGTCATCCCTCCTTGAACCAGTTCAAGAAACTCCACTTCCTTAGCAAACCGAACACTATCTGGGAAGTATTCGACATAAAACTTCAGTTTGAAAATTTCCCAAGAGATTGGAGTTTTGCTGCTTTCTAGTAGCATCCTCATGCTACTCCACCAGTGACTAGCTTCTCCCGTCAACATGTACTCAGAATACGCCAATCTATTTTCGTTTGGACATCTTTTGGCGCTATAAATTCGCTCCATATCTCGGAACCATTGGTCTGCTTCATCCGGACTGCACTTGCCATCAAACTTGGCAAGAGGATGTTGAAGAAAGCTCTCAAGACTTCACTCTGCCTGATGATTCGCAGAAGAGGTAGATGGTCCAGTTGTGGCTCTGCCGCTCGCCATCAGATCCACATATTGTTACTGAGATACCTCCGTTGATAACCGACCGGTTTCTTGATGTTGTAGAGTGTCTGTTGAACTAATGCAGCGTTCTGTTGCTGCATTACCGTGAGTACCAACTCCATCATCCTCATCAAATCTAACGTATGAGAATTCGCAGTTGGTGAAGAAGGAGGAGATTGAGATGCCATCTCTGATCATTCATAGAGAAAGCACCATCAGTCTAAACCAAGGAGATAAGGATACTTTCTAAACTAACACTGAGTACACAACACAAGCATAAGATACTCATAACCTACAGGGTTCTAAGGAAAGAACTACTCTGATACCATTAATGTAACATCCCAAAATATAGCATAACACTATATCATAGATTAATCACATATAATAATAAGGTAAATCAGTTCATAAAGGGTTAGTAAAGTATTTAATATTACACTTATCCAAAATAACCATAAAACTAAAAACTTTATAGATCAACATAAGTCTGATACACAATATAGACATAAACGAACGGTGATACAACACTCTGTATAAACCGATCGGTTTACCAAAAGATAGATTGACCGAACGGTCCATTCTAAAACTATAAACAACTGATGACCGAGTGGTCCTAACTTAAGCAACAGGTTCCTTGCCTTCCAATGCTTGCTCCAATGAACATTCATCACCTTCTGCTCACATCCACAGGATGATCATTGCAAATGATAAGATAACCGGACGAACAAAACAAGACAACCAAGAAAGTAGGGTAAGCTAATGTAATTTAGTTATAAACACATATATACAATTCATGCAAGTTCCATACATACAAAAACGAACGGTAAATCATGCCAACACAGAGTACATTTAACCACATACAAACCGAACACCACCATTCATATATATATCTAAATCGAACACTATGACTTGACCATCCGGATTGTATGAATATGTAGCTACAATCATCCTTGCACTTGTGGTAGTGTAACAGCTGACACCAATCAAGCTACTACCCAAGGTTAATCCCATAATACCTACCTCGGCACCCTGAGGTGGTAGGACCTGCTGCTATTCTCACAAATGAAATACCTCTCTCTATGTGAGAATGATACTCATAGAATTTCAAGATGAACGCTAGCTTAGCATATTCATATTCATACTTTACAATTCCATAACCATACACGAGACATTCGCCTTGGAATTCTCTTCCATAGTATACATAAGTCCAACATGCTCATATTTAACATAATCTATCATTCATCAATTATATTTTCATTCTCAGAATAAAGAGAACATGTGAACGTTGGAGACTGGACACCTTCGCAGTTACCCAACCGAGAGGAACCGAACGGTTCATAAGAGACAAAACAGAATAAACTGACCGAACGCTATTATTGACCGACCACTATAGAAACCAACTAGTAGGAACTTAACCCATCCTGAAGAGTTTATACAACACACTCATAGCTCAAACCGAAAATCTTAAAAAATCTATACCGAACACTATACTAGACCAAGTACTTAGAGATTATTGGATACTCTATCCAGACCGAACTCTAGTTTAATATTAGAACATTGTGATTAGACCGAACCATCATAAATAGATAATAACTCTAATAGACCGAACACCTGTAAATGACTGAGTACGTAACATCGTCAACGGTCAAGCAAAACAAAACTCTGAATAACATTTCTTAAACCAAAACAAGATATTTTTCTTAATTTCTAGACTTCTAAACTTGATTTCTAATTTATTTTAAACTTATTCCACTGAACCTATTACACACAAGTCACCACTCATTTTTTCACATACTCTCATTCCCAACCAGAACTGACCGAACGCTCTACAACAGGAAAACCCCAGTCTAGTTCACATGTCTTGGCAAAACACAGAATTTGAATACAAATTTTAATCAAACATACCATTATTCATACATGAAAGCATTCGAACAGAAATTCCAACCACAGAAAAGCATAATTAAATTACTAGCTTCCCTTACCTTGAATACACTCGACACTTCCTAAGCTTCCACTGTTTGAATTAACCAGCAACCACTTCTAAAGCAACCTTCTAAAATTTATGATCGGTGAACAAGGAATAACCAGAGAATCAAGATAGAAATAGATTTAGAGAAAGATCAATGAAGAACACATGCAAGCTGAACAGTGCTTGCATGTATCAGAAAAACGCAGAACTTTAAAGAATGAGTGATTTTTAACTTACCAACTTCACACAGCAGCTGGATTGATGGAAAGAAAACTCTTGCCACCAAGAAAGAGATCAAACACGTCCTAGATGATGATCAGAATAAGAAGAAAGTGAGGATTTTTAGAGAGAAGGAGGAAAATTGTAGAGAGAAGGAGGAGAAACTCAGAAATCTGAGGAGAAGAGATGCATGCAAAAGTGGCTCAAAGTTTGAAAATTTTGCTTATATACTACTGTCAAAAACTGATCGGCCAACCAGATGCACACACCTGTCTTCCACTTTCTGAATTTTATAAACTCTCACACTAACACCTGAATTCCACTAAAAGCTGAATTTAATGGTTTTGACATTTTTCCATAACACAAGTTTAACAAAAAAAATCAGAAATATTGCATTTATGAAATAATGATGGATTTTTTTTAAATAACCAAAAGAGGGATGTCCCAACCATTTATGCCATAACCAAATTTTCTTTTTGTTTTTATCTTATATGTGATCATTCGCAAGACAAGCCAACCCTCTTTTATTGGTTTGTTATGAGACATTTTCAAGATAATACAGTTCTTCACTATCTCTACCATTGACAATGTTCTCCTTGGAATGGATGTTCTGAAAAAGACAATGGGTTGGGTAAAACAAGACAATACAAGAATTAGATTTGATTAACTTGTTAACGGAGCTAAGATTACAATTTAATGTAAGGACATATAAAACATCTAGAATTGATAAGGAGAGTGAGAGGGATATAATACATATACCTTCAATAAAAGATGAGACCCCATTGACATTAATAATAACAATTTTAGAACAATTAGAGGAAAAATTAGTAAATATATAAGAATCACAAGTCATATTATCAGTAGCGCCTGAATCAATTATCCAATCATTATCCTTAGTAACAATAAAAAAATTAAGGGCAGAGTTAGATATACCTGACTTGGTCACTGTTAAGAAAATCTCACGTTACACACACCTAGATATTTTCCTAAAATTGAGTCTACTATTCATTGATGATTGAAGGGCTTTAAATAGTCGTGACACTTACAATATTACGGGAATAAAAATAAAAAGAGAAAATAAAATATCAACTATCTTAAAAATAAAATCTGCTTAATCTATCATAAAATAATATTGTACCTAGATAAACAAAATTATTAATAAAACCCTAAAATTTAAGTTTATCCCGACAAACTCCCCCACAAACTTAAATTCTTTCTTCTTTCATTCGGCTTTCTATGTGCATCCTCCCACACCGGGTTTGCTTCTTTCAATGAGATTTGAGTTGGAGTTATCCAAGATCTTGCTAGTCATATCTTGTTTCAAACATCTTTTCTCTAAGATTTCCAACTCCAGTTCATACCACTGGTTCTTCTTTGCTTCTACCTAGGTTGCTAGACGACCATGCTTATCCTTTAAATACAGTACCTAATTTTTCATAAAAACTGAATTACCTTTTTCAATTATCTGACTCATACTTAAAATATTGCTCTTCAACTCCGGAACATAGTAAACATCCCTAATCTCTCCAACTTGTCTATTCTTCTGCATATGTTGAATTGTTCCATCCCTTTCACGGCCACCTTGGAGTCATCTCCGAAAGACATAAATTTGGCCTCCACCTTGGTGAGTTTATAAAAAAAGTTCTCGTTTCCACACATATGATTGTTTGCCCAGTATCTAGATATCATACCGAGTTGGTAGAAATCTCATCAACTTTCATCTCTTCTTCATCTTCTTCCCTATTTTTATCTGGTTCAAGAACGCTAGATGTTTTTTCTTCCTTTTCAAGAGCTTCCTTCTTCAGCTCCTCAAGCTCAACCCTCTATTTATTCATAATTTCATTAGCTTCATCTAAAAGCCTCCATATCCGCTGAATCTCTTCATCTTTTTGTTTGAGTTCTTTCTCTAGGTTTTCCTTCTCCACAATTTTTGCATCCTTTACCGAGATCACTTCATCCATTGTTGGGATTGGGCTCTCCATGTCCACTGCATCTGAGCTCTTTGGCATCAACAGAATTTCACACTCTTCTTCCCCATCTTCAGCAAGGAGATCTGTCTCTCCCTTTGTCTTGGTCTTGCAATACTTTGCAATATGGCCAGCCTTGCCACAGTTGTAGTACTTGCTTGATCTACACTCATTTGCATAGTGGCCATACTTGCCACACTTAAAACACTCAACTCTTGACCGGTCTCCTCGACCTTTCCCTTGTCCTTGGTCACGCCAATTCTGTTGACATGTTTTCTCTTCATTATCATTCTCAAAATTACCTTGGCCACGTCCACCTCGTCCTCGGCCTCCTCGCCCTCTTCCACCAGGACATCGGCTCTGACTAATCCAAGTTTTATTCGAGTCAAATTGTACTTCTAGTGCTTGATCGTCAAGTTATCCCAACTCCTTCTCCTTTTTCATCGGCTTCTAATGACCCAACAAGTTCATCCACTGTGAGAACCAACAAGTCCTTCGATTCTTCGATGGTGCACACGATACTTTCGAAATCTTTTGTTAGGGATCTCAAAATTTTTCCCAAAACCCGGCTAGATGGCATTTGTTCTCCATTCCTGCCGAGTTGGTTGGCCACCTTCTCCACCCAAGTTATGTACTCGGTTATATGCTTTTTGGGCTCTATCTTCAACTGTTCAAACTCTCCTTTGAGAGCTTGTATTCGAACTTGTCTAATGCGGTTGTCACCTTTATACGCAACCTTCAATATCTCTTAAGCTTCCTTTGTTGATTTATTATTCTCTATTTTTTCGAATCCCGACTCATCTATTGCATTGTAGATGAAATATAATGTTGACCCATCTCTTGCAGGTGTTTTCTACAATGTTATCATATGTGCCACCGTCTAATGTTCATCCTCGTCAGGTTCAACATACTCGTCTTCCACCATATCCCAAATGTCTTGGGATCTCAATAATGCCTTCATCTGTAGGCACTAATTATCATAAATGATTTTTCTCGTCAATTGTGGCACACTCGTACCATTGACAACCTTTGTCAT